AAGATACGTGCTATAGCCACCTTACCATTGACCAGTGTTGTCTCTACTACTCCAAAGAATTGACATAAAACTTAACATCATCAAAAAGTTGAGTCAAACATATCCAAAGATTATTATAATATCTCATTAATTTATTGCTGCCGTATATGCTTCAGTAATTTTCTTTGCTCTGGGGTTTTATCACTAGTAAGAGTTTGAAATGAACTTCAAAGTGCAATTTTATAATCTATTAACTTAAAGTTTGGGGGGAAATGCCATCAGATGAAGTAAACCAATATAAAAAGGAATTGCACCATAGCAAAAATTTTAAAAAGGCTTCGGTTCTCTTCACTTCCAGGGTTGTGCTTATGAGAATTTATTAGCAAATGTTATATGCCATATGGTGACTTTGATTTATAAACTGCAGGTGTTTCATTCCATTTTTTTCCAATTATTTAATAAAAATATTTTTATGGCAATGATTTTTTCGTTGTTCTCTCAGAACCTTTTTACCAAACTGACCATTACCTCATCTACCCACATTCGTTCAAAGGAGTCTCAAAATGCCCTCTGTGGAGATTCTCGAAACTGCTTAGCATCAAGGAGAGAGACCTGAAATGAAGGGTTCTCTTCAATCTGTGACCCTATAAACTTAACCATTTGTGTGGATCTACATAAATACTTTTGAACAATATAATCAACTCTGTTAGTACCTTTCTTGAACCACTACAAGAAGAACTGGTTCCCAAAGCTTCCCTCTATCCCTCCCAACACCATCCTTCCTTTGGCTCTGTAAAAGCTGCTTTGTTTTATAGGGAGGGTATTGTCTCTTTTTTTCTGATAAAAGACTAAAGTGGTACATACTCTGATTTGCTCAATGAAAAAGCCTATAGAATTTTTTCCCCAGCTGTCCCACACAAAAAACCATAAATTTTTTCTTAAAATAACTATCACTTCAAGGGGGTGATTGGTCAGGAGCCAACTAGGGACAATGTATGGAGGGGATTTTCAAATTGTAAACTAGAAACTAGGTATGGAAGTTGCCCCAAGCTGGAAACAGCCCAAACCAGAGGAACACCAGTCAGTGTATAGCCTCCTTGAGCCATGGGAAGTGGGAGAAAATTCCTCCATGTCTTTTAAGTAGGTGAGAACCTTTTGGCTGTATCATAACATGGAGGAAGGCATCACAAAGGTGAGAGAGAGAGAGTGGGAGGAGGCTGAACTGATTCCTTATAAGGAAACAGGACCTATGGTAATTATACTAATGGATTCAAGGGGATAGAGTCCTCATAATCTAAGCACTTCTTAAAACTGTTAAATTGGTGATTTAATTTCCAACACATGAATTTTAGGGAGCACATTCAAACTATAGCAAGAATAAAGCTGAAATTCAAATATGGGAAATATATTTTAAAGTGAATATATAATAATTCACAAAATTCAAGTGACTTTTCCAGCATCACACAGTTAGAAAGGTGCAGAACTGGGGTTCAACCAGAAATTTCTGATTTTAAAGATTACATTTTATGAACTGTGCTATCTTATGGTTGAGAACTGACAATTAGAATTAGACGATATTTGGAAAGCATGGGGCAGTAGTAGGGATGAAGAGTTTGGGTTCCACTTTATGACAGAAGCTAATGTTTATTGAATTCTCACTACGTGGTAGACACTAGAATAGCAATTGATATAGTTTATGCATTTCCATCTTCCTAAATTAAACTATTATCCCTATCAGAGAAGTTAGGTAACTTGTCCAGATTGATAAAGCAGGTGTTTGAGCCCAAGTAAATATCACTGTAGTTTTGTGACTCAGGGAAAAGAGCAGGCACTTGGACAACTATTATAATACTGAATTTGAAAGAGGGTTGATGGGGCATGCTCTGAGCTGCAGAGCAGCTGAGAACACCTTCAGGACACTGCATGTGCATGAGAAGCTAGACACCCTGGTATCTTTCAAGCTGGACCAAGGATTGATCCAAAACTTACTCATTATGCCAAGCTGTGCAAGGTTCAAAGCTACAATCTTCATAAAACTTCCAGTGCCTTCTGTTCTGCAGGAAGCTTTCCCCTGCTGTGCCTAGATCAAAACATGGTCTCCACGGGGCTTTTTACACAGATTGTTGCTAAAAAAGTAAACAATTTAAAATCACAAACAGTGCTCCAGAGGAAGGAGGAAAGATAAGAGACTTGACTGCCCTTGCTTATTTCCAGCAAGGCATGTTGGGCTGCAGCTGGTGCATGGGAAACTCATTATGGACATTTGAAGTCTTGACAAATACATTTGGTAACCTGAGAGCACAGCAAGCAGCTTCCTGGCCGAGTAGTCAATCAATCAGTTGTCAGGTTGAAGCAGGCAGCACAGACCAAAGCAAGGCAGCAGATTAGGGGTGAGTGGTGCACTTGGTCAGCTAAGTGAGAAAACAGGACTGGATCATGGTCATCAGTGATGGTAGAAGCACCTCAGAAGAGAATGATCTTCAGTTTTCCCTGAAGTAGAAAGAGGTTTTAACAAAGGGCTCCCTAGAGAGGGGGTAGCACTATTATTAATAACTCCCCACAAGTGAATTATTACATTATTCAGGACCCTGGCAATAAACAGAATCCCAATCAGATGGGTCAACTTAAAAGAGTTAATGAATACACAACATACAGTCCTGGAGTGCAGATTTAAGAAAAGCCATAAAGTAATACTGAGCTACCCTGAGGCTAGTAACAGGCTAATGAGGCAAGGGGAGAAAATTATGCTTCTAGAGACGAGTGTCACCCCAGGAGAGCTATGATTAACAGGGTGCAGCCACTCTTAGAATGTTACGCTGAAACTGGACAGGGGTGGTGCAAGTATTCCACAACTTTTTTTTTCCTGGTACCCTCTTGTCTCTTGCCAGTGTCTCCTCTTGTATAAACCAAATTGAGGAAAGGGAACCACAGGAATGTGATCTGTGTACATTGGCTGTCCAGGGAATATAGTAAAATAGAAATGGACATACGGTGGTTCCAAGTGGGTAATCACATTAGCCACCCACCTTGGTGAGGGGTTCTAGTCTTTTGAACTGTGGTCTCTCATGCAACTTTTCACAAAGAATAACAGGTATGCAAATAGGAAGAAAAAGCAATGCAACTTGATAATGGAGTATGGTAACTTGCTTACAGCCTTGAGGTAATATGGATTCAGCTAGACATCCATTTATGGAAGTGAAGCAAAAGTCCAAATTATTATGTGAAATGAACTTGATTTTATGCACTTGGGAGTTAATTGACAAAATTTAGTTTTCATCATGGTCAAACAAATCTATGAAATTAATCTAATTATTATAAATGAAGCAGAATATCCAGATTATTAGACAAATTCAGCTGATTTTTAAAAATTGCAAGTTAGAGAATCCCAGCTTCTAAGACAGGAGTCCCCAGTGTTTTTCCTTTTCAACAAAGCAATAAAACTTATTTTTTACTTTTCTCAAAACCATGTCATTATTGGATTGGTATCAATGACAAGGACTGAGATTTTCATAAAAAATTTGATACCCCAAATGGGATCTGAAAGAAGCCCCCACTTCAGCTTCCTTGGGTAGAACTGGCTCTTCAAGGAACCCCACTTCCATGTTGAAGACGCAAGGTAGCTGGTAAACTTGTTGAGAGACAATTGCAGGAGAGTTAGGAGCTGGGTGAGTTTGCCCAGTTCAAATCAGACGGATTCGTGAGTAAAAGGAGGGACTGGGAGACCATACCAGCAGCTGTGGAAGCTCCTTTTGTTTCAGGAACTCCTTCCTTCTTTCCATAAAAAGTACAGTTTGCTCCAACTTGATCCACTTTGAGAAAAAACTTTGGTCAGCTGGTAAGTCCTCTGGTGTACAGCTGAGATCCTTGATTCTACAAATGTTATTCCTCTTCATGGGGAACATCTAGCCCTCTTTTTAGGGACATCTGTGGCACCACTGGTGTAGAAGTCATGGTGAAGCAGGACTCAAGAACCTAGGGATATTTACTCTCTTCTGATCAGTTCTAAGTTCTTATCTGTTTGTTAGCCTTGGCGTTGGAAATTTCCTCTGTTTTTGTTTGGTTTGTATCTGTTAATGCCCCTTTTAAGACATGGCAAATACTTCATTGATCCTATAGATAGTCTTTTGTGAAATATCTTGGCTGATAAATTTAAAGGGTCTCATCTGTCAGCCATGATTTGGGGGCTCCTCTCTGGTTGTCTGTCTCTGTTTCTTTTTTGTACAATCTTGCAGTTGGAGTTGGTCTGCCAGAGGCAAAATGAGTTGAAGAAAGGGACACCTGTAGTTATAACCCTGTCTAAGATAACATTTTACTCCAATGATCTGGCTTTTGAATATCTTTCTGTATTATTATACAATCTTGCATTTGGAATCAGTCTGTCATTGGGAAAATAATTGGAAGACATTTATATGTACAGCTTTGTCTGTTTTAAAAGTTTCTGTCTGTCTGTTTGGTTTTGGTGAGCCTGTCTAGTCTGCTCCCACCCCCCCCAGTCTGTTACTGACCCTTTAAGACATGGGCCATGCTGAGTTAGTGCTCTCTTGAAAGAGAAATCTTGACTGAATGGTATAAGCCTATAGGTATAAACCTGTCTAAAAGAAAGATGGTTTTCTTTAACACACTCTGGACTTTGAATGTTTTTTTTTCTGGATTATTACACAATCTTAAAGTTTGAGTTGCTCTTTCAGGGGTCAAGTATATGGGAGAGTTTGTGTATGTACAGGCATTCATTCAGTTGCATGATAAGGGGTCTGAACAGTCAGGCACTAAGTTGAAGGTGCCAAAAGGCTCAGCCTCTGCTGTGCAAGGATAGCAGGACAACCAGAAGAAAGGTTTAAACTTTAAAAAGATTTAAATCTATTAAACCTAGTGCTGGCACTCCTAGCAGTGTTTCTCAGCCTGGCCCCAGGCAGCTGCCAATCGATCATCTCACTGTGGGTCAAGGACACGAGCCCTAGGCTGGAAAAAAAAAAAAAAAAGTAAAAAGAAAATACCAGAAAAACTGGCTGAACTCTAGAAAAATGGTCATAGAGAACCTGGCCTCTACCCTGCCTTTCATCCCCTTTGCCCTGGTGGGAGTGGAAGCTGTGGTCCACAAAGATTGAGGTAGGTTCCAGCACTGTCAGTGTATGACCTGTGGACAGGGCTATTCTATCCTTTAAGATCTGACAGGATCCCCATGTGGCCAGGATATAGCTATCATTGGGGCAAAGCAATTCTTGCTATAACAGTATCCCATCAAAGTAGATGCCTGATAGGGTAAACAACGGTACCCAGAAAAGAAAAAAAAAAGACAGAAACTAAGGCCAACCAGGTTTTGTAGGCAGATTTCACAAAGGGATCTTCAAGGAAGCCTAAAGAAAAGGATGGAAAGGGCCTTCTCCACTGCATATCAATGGGCCTAGTAGAAGCAAAAGGCCAAAAGGAGACTCTGGGTAAAATTGAGAGTGGGGAACTCACTTAATATTGATGGCATTGTGATAATGAAAAGGCGAGACAGGTCAAGCTCAAAAATATCCTGTGCTCCAACTCCTTAAAGCAACCTGGGAGAAAAAATATGAAGGCACACTTTTTGTAAATGGCAGATTGTCCAACACTCTTCTGGGATAAAACTTGTTATATATGTTAAATTCACAGATACCATTCATAAGGATTAAGTCAGTTTATGAATTAAGAAAGTGTCCAAAACTAAAGATAAAAGAAAGTTATAGGTATGGATATATATTTTAGTACAGAAAATTACAAGGTTTAAAAAAATATATTTTTGGATGAGAAAGTATTTTTCCTGGCAAAGTAATCTTTTTGTGCTAAAGTCGAAGGTGAAAGAGGACAAAACTAAGGATGTAAACAAATTGTGAATATTTAAAAAACTTTCACAGAAAGTTTGTGAAACGTAAATCTCAAAAAGATTTTGTTTGTGATTAAATTCGTTATGATTAGCAAAGTCAAAATGACTTGAAATTTGATGTACTGATAGAAGCAGGACCTGAAACACTGATCTTCTCTAATCTATTGAGATAATTTTTAAATTTTTTTTTTTTAGGTTTTATTACTTGGGAAACTGAGTCTTAAAGGAATTAGGGTTTATTCCTGTTTTAAAGTCTTATATTATTACTCTGTAACTGATTAAACAAATGACTCTTATTTAGTTTATAACAATACACACCCAAAATATATGTGTCTAGGTTTATGTATGCATCTAAAAACTATATCTGTCTTAGCCTTGTCTAAGTTATGTAAAAGTTTATAAAAATAAAAGTTTACTGGCAAGATGACCAATGAGCGCTCTCTTTTATACATTACATCTGATATAGAAGGGCTACACTATCATTTGAAGAACTGTCATAACTATTTGCTTTGACTAAGTCAATTTCTGATTATTAACTCTGTTTCTTTAATGTATAAGAGATTTAAGGTTATCTGAGTTTTGCTAACACATGCAGACCTGAAATTATTTTTACCATACACTATGGATTCTAAATTGTACTTTCAAATTTAAACTTAGTTAAATATAGAGATTAGGAGAGCACTTTGTCAAATTGTTGTTCTTCAAACTAAAATTATCTGTAGCAATAGTCTCTGAACTGTATTTAAATAACAAATTTGATTGGCATTTATTCATGTCATTTGATGATGTTTATAGCTGGATAGAGTAAGCTGTTGTGAATAAATTATATATAATATTTTGTGTTACTCTTCACACTGGAATTGGAATTTAAATGCATTTCTGTAAGGTAACAAGGAGAACCTGAGTTGCTTAGAGGTGACATTATAAAACATGGAAGCATTTTGCCACTTTTTCCACAAAAAGAAAGTTAAAATCTTTCTTAATCTTTGTTTGATTCATGTTTCAGATGTAATGTTGTATTGTGTTGTTTGTCAAGAGCCCCACCTTACCTGAGATAAGGCTCTGCCTCCCACCTTAATCCATATTAGAATGGCTTCAAAATAGGCTAGATTTCATCTCATTTCAACTTGTGTTCAGAAGATTGATTTTTTTTGTAAAGATTACTGTAATCAAAAACAAACAAGGGTATAATATATAACTAAGTAAAGATTTAAGAGTATAAAAATCATTTTTCTTACTTCACCACCTATTACACAAATTGAATTTTTTTTTTGTTGTGTTAACTTCATTTTTTATTTCACTTGTAAACTTTATAAATGTTGCCTGTTTGTATTTTGCAGAGGTATTGCTCCCATTAACAACGTGAGTTAATTTGAGATAAGCCATATAGGACAGAGAGGATATAATGCTGGCTTCCATTACTAATATTACCCCAATTAAATGAAAGAGGTAACTGAAGTTATTATAGATATTGACGTTATAACCTGTTACTCCCACTTTAAGACTGGTGAAACTGGCCTTCTGAGTTTTTAAAACCCAAAACTTGGAGACTAAATTCAAGGAAATTAAAGGGCCAAGGGAAACGCAGCCAATATTTTGGCCCTTGCTCTCTATGGTCAGCCAGTATGAAGAGAATGATGAGACCACTCTTTGGGCCCTGAAACTCTGGTGAGTCATCCAATCTGCTGATCAGAGAGATCAAGAGGACCCTAGAGAACAGGAAGCCAACCAGTGTACATTCTGCAAAGAAGAAGGTCATTGGAGAAGGAAATGTCCCTGATGCTTCTAAGAGAAGCCATATAATGGTAGCAAGACCCTGACCCATCCTGGTAGATATCACCACTGGTAGAGGACAGCTAAAGGAGCAAGAGCATCCCCCAAAGGTATCTCTGAGAAATATCAGCTGATTCTTAAGAGGAAATAAGAACAAGAGTCAGTTTTGACTCACTAGGTCTTAAATACCTGGCAGGAGAGTATAGCCTATAGTTCCACATGGACATTTAAAAGGAAAACCATTTTTTTAGATTATGATTTTATCATGCTTTGTATGTTTTCTTTTTCTTTTATTTATTCTAATGTGTTATATATGACAGCAAAATGCAATTCAACTTATATTACACATATAGAGCACTTTTTTATGTCTCTGATTGTACACAAAGTAGAATCACACCATTCATGTCTTCATAGATGTACTTAGGGCAATGGTGTCCATGTCATTCCACTGTCTTTTCTACCCTCATGTTCCCTTTCTTCCTCTCCCTCCCCTTTGCCCTATCTAGAGTTCATCTATTCCTCCCATGTTCCCCCTATTCCCATTATAAATCAGCATCTTATATCAGAGGAAGCATTTGACATTTGGTTTTTTGGGATTGGCTTAATTCGCTTAGCATTATATTCACCAACTCCATCCATTTATCTGAAAATGCCATGATTTTATTCTCTTTTAATGCTGAGTAATACTCCATTGTGTGTATATATCACATTTTCTTTATTTAATCATATATTTAAGGGCATCTAGGTTGGTTCCACAATTTAGGTATTGTGAATTGTTCTGCTATAAATATTGGTGTGGCTATGTCCCCGTAGTATGCTGTTTTAAAATCCTTTATGTGTAAATCAAGGAGCGGGATAGATGGGTTATATGGTGGTTCCATTCTCAGTTTTTTAAAAAACTCCATACTACTTTCCATATTGGTTGCATCAATTTGCAGTTCCACCAGCAATATATTAGTGTGCCTTTTCACCCACATCCTCGCCAACACTTATTTTAATGTAACTTAAGATGTACACTTGTGTCAGTCCTACCAAAATTAAGTAAAGCCAGAGGCTATAAAGGAAGGGTTCTTGTGTGGAAATGCCTAATAATAATGAGTTGCAAGTTTGTCCTGAATGAATTTGAGCCTAATGTTATACACCTACAAAACATCCTAACCTCCTACATTGATAAACTTGACCTTCTTTTCACTGATATGATTATGATTTACTGTCTTCATGATTTTCAGAAACTGAAATATTAATTGCTTTTGTGATAGTTGTTTACAAAAAAGTAATGCTTTGTTGTCTTGTTTATTGTTGCCTTAGCATGATCTCTGCCCTATGCGTGCCTTGTCCACTCACCTGCCATCTACCACTATGAACCTCTGAACTGCTCTGATGCTGAATACCCCTAACTCTCCATGCCCCACCTGATAAAGAACAAGGACTTTGAGTTACTTCCCCCAACTTTGCCCTGTTTTCAACAGGAAGCAGCTTGGAGATGTTGTTGTTCATTTTTCCATAGAAATGGAATGTAAAAATTGACAGTGGAGAATTATAACATTGGTCCATTCTATGCTTTTAATATAACCCTATCTACTCTGCCACTACAACTATTTTTTTTAATGGACATTTTTTTTCACTTTCTCTCTCCCTGAACCACCCTAATCTCTTCCTGCATCTCAGGGGAAACAAAATTACCTTTCTTTCCCATCTTAGGTAAATTGATCTGTTCTTGCATGAGTACCCACCAATAGGAACAAAGTAATATAGATTTTAGGGATGATACCAGAAGATCTCAGAAATGACTCTCTTCCAAATTAACAAGCGATTGTCAACTCAACAGAGAACATGTGGAATGTAGTTAGCCCTTGAGAAACTTCTTTAAAAGCCTCTGTTCCTGCTGATGTATAGAATCACAGCCTCTGGGACAGGAGTCCTCTGTGTTTCTCCTTTGTTAGCAAAGCAATAAAATTCATTTTTTTCTTTTCCTCAAAGAAAAGCATAGAAGGTTAATAGGGGGAAAAAAAGCACGTTTGTGACAAATATTCACACCTGTCTCTTTCAAGCCAACCATACTGGAGAAGTTTCGACCCCAACTCACATCTTTTAGGCTTATTTTTGTTCTAGACATCTCTGAAGCAACCAGCTCCTCTGGGAGCTGATGCACCTGATGTACTTTTCATCAGCAGTACTGAGTAGATTTTGCTTTTCTGCATCAGGCCTCTTATGTGTGTGTGTGTGTGTGTGTGTGTGTACGTTCGCATGCTTTCGGGAACTACCTAGCACCAGAGTTTGAGAACCCTGTAGGGCAAACATTGACCAATGTGGAATCCAGTTTTTAACAGTCACTTCCCTTTCCATGCCTTTGGCTGGACAATCCCAAGGTTCATGTACATGGTTCATTTATCATCAACCACAGAGATGAATAACGAACAAGAACACATCCTAGTCTTCGTTTTCTATTTTTTTCTAATTTAAATTTCCCAAGTCCTGCACTGCT